CCCCCTCCCCGGCAGCAGGGCCAGGCACTGACCCGCTCCTCGGCTTCTTTGTTCAGCACTTAATTCCTGCTTGCTGCAAAACCCAAACCACCCAACCAGCCCAAACCCCCACAAAGCAAATCATCTTGGTGTGGAGCTGTAGCTTAGGTGAAAGCTGAGGAGATGATGGGGGTTGGAAGGTGTACTGGGTAGCCTTGAAAGTCGCTAAGTAGAAGTACTGTGATCAGTGGAGCAGTATTTAGTAGCAATAATTAAGACTGAAATAAGCAGGTAAATATTGAAACGAGCTTTGCTTATCAGTCCCTAATAATGACTTTTTAAAACCTTCACAGAATGTCAGTTCACCTTTGAGAAGGCTATAGAGTACGTACCATTCGGTATGTACACTCTCTCCTCTATTTATAATGTTCCTCTTGGGAGGATTTCTTTGACTGTACAATACTGTTTTTATGCACATGGAAACCCTCTTTATAAGACAACGTCGCTTCTCAGGAAAAAAAAAGATATTGAATTGCAATGAAGTGCATGAGAGTTTGTATTTCTTGTAGGCTATAGAATGTTAACAGTTTTAACTTACTAATAATTCCTAAAGAAAATGATGCCAGAATTTGTACCTGTTCTTGTTTGGGTTTTGTTTCTGTTCTTTTGGTTTTTGCCTTTTTTTTTTTTTTTTTTTTTTTTTTTTAAATCTTGTCCATGGTTTTTTTATGTGTTAAAACCTTTTTGTCTTTTTATGTCTCATTTTTAGAAGCTGCTAACTTGTGCCAAACCTCCACTGCTGCTACTACGCCTGTGACTCTTACTACTCCATTCAATATAACGTCCTCTGTGGCTTCTGGGACTATCACAAACCCAGTCACAGTGGCAGCTGCAATGAGCATGAGAAGTCCAGTAAATGTATCAAGTGCAGTTAATATATCCAGTCCGATGAACCTAGGGCATCCTGTAACTATAACAAGTCCATTATCCATGACATCTCCATTAACGCTCACCACACCGGTCAATTTACCCACCCCAGTAACCGCTCCAGTGAATATAGCACATCCAGTCACTATAACATCTCCCATGAACCTCCCCACGCCCATGACGTTAGCTGGTCCGTTAAATATAGCCATGAGGCCGGTAGAGAGCATGCCTTTCCTGCCTCAGGCCTTGCCCACGTCTCCTCCCTGGTAAAGAGTTTCTAAAACAGTATTAAAAAGGATTAAAATGGAATCCTTACCAGCAGTTCTTTTCTGGGTTTTTGTTTGGGTTTATTATTATTTTTGTTGTTGGGTTGTTTTTTTTTTGTTCTGTTTTTTGTTTTGGTTTAGTTAATAATAAATTCAGACTAAGACACTGGGGCAACATGCACCATCAGAGACCATAGTAGCATCTTCCCCTGTTGATTTGGCTCGTATGGTTCAACCTTGAGTTTCACTGGAGCACTTCATTTAACGTAAGTTTTCCCTTTTAGCTGACTGATGCTGAATTAGAGCAGATACTTATTGCCAGAGTTTAAAAAAGGAAAAATAATTAAAAAGAAAAAAAAAAAAAACAGTTTTATGTTTTATCCCCCAAATTATAACTTAGAGAATTACTTTAATCTAAGCACTAGCAAAGACCCCTCTGTGTGTTTAACAGGGCGGATGGCTAATCTTAACTTGCCAGTCGTTAAGTTTCTGAGCTAGTGTAGAATCCTTGTCTGTGTTGATGTTTTTTTTTTTTAAGGAGTAAATGCATTACAATGTTGTCATTTAAAGAAAAATGCATTTTGGAGAAAATATGCATTTTACCTTTGGGAATATGGTAATTTCAGGCAGCATTCCCTATGGGAAAGGTGATACCAGCTCTGATATGCAAAGCATATGATAACTTATCATTCTAACTTCAACGTATAATAGGGATTGTGACCTGATATTTGGAGATGTAAATATTACCCAACATATTACCCTAAGGGAATATAGCATTGTAGTCAACATTTTTTTTAAGAAAGCTTATTGTTTGGTGAGAAACAGCCGTGGCTGACAGAAGAGGAGTCGAGATGTATGTAAACATGGTCTCTGAACAGTCAGACCCCTATGGGACTCTTATCTAGGAGCAAAAGGAGTGCTTTGAAACTTAAGAAATATTGCTTTAAGCTGGAAGATTCTGGAGGCACTGGGTATGATTTTTATGCCCTCTGCCTCCCAATCAGAGCCTGCTGGTGTTGCAGCAGGGGACAGACGTGTTAGTTGTTCACTAGAAGTTTTGTCTTATATTAAATTGTATACAGTTTTTATTCTAACCACTAACTAGGTAGGATGCCCCTCCAGGACAAGCAGAGAGCGTCTTTTAATTTCTCCCCTATTTCTTAATCAAGTGTTGTGCAAATCTGTTCAACTTTGTAAATATTTGCAAACATCATCATTTTTACGTTACTCTTCTATTGTGTTAACACATTTCTATCAGTTTGTGGGACTTTCTGGGGTGATGGTTTCAACCGTCCAGCCCAGAACTTCTCCACAAACGGTCACACATGTTTAAGCTACATGTGCTTTTTATTTCTTAACCTGTTTATCTGTACATAAAGTAGAAAGCAAAATCTAGGGAAACAGATATACTTTTTAGACTATCATGTCACATATTCACGTTTTTAAAACTTTGTTTAAAAAAAAAAACCAACAAACCACCCTAAACCCAAGACTCTTACATTAAAAAAAAAAAAGCAAAACAAATAAAGATTACAGTCGAGATGTTTTTATCTTAATGAAGTTGAAAGCTACAGAGATTAGAGTGTGTGCATTTTCACAGAGTGCTAGCAGGACTGACTAGTCAAAATGGACTGACTGCTTCCGTTCCTACCCTGCCGTGTCAGTACAAGCAGTGATTGCCAGGCTGCTGGCTCAGGTGAACAGGTATCTGTATCATTACGTGAAACTGTTCTAGGGGCTTGGACTACATAGTAAACCAACAAAAAAAAACCAACAAAAAAAATAGAGCTTAGTGTAAAATAATTTTATAAATGATCTTTTGTACTTTAGGACATCAAATTGTACAACTTTTGTATATATAAAAGCTTAGGAACTTTCTGTTTAGCAGAAAGGAAACACATTCCTACACTTTTAATGTATATGTTTGTTATAATGTCCATGTAAACATATGCCCTATGTTTGTGCCTTTTAATTAGTTTGTCTCAATAAACAAAAATGTAGAGAAGAATATGTAGCTATGACTTTGTTACCACTGTTCTTACTCCAGATGTGTAGAGGTCTTCGTTTTTTGCACTGTGTAGAGCATTGCGTGCAGACAGCTGCATGACTTAGGCTGATCCGGCCGGAACGAGGCATGTGAAGGGAATGCACCCCAGGAAAACTCCCTCCTCCCGTAGCGTAGAGCAGCCCGTGCTGGTGGGGCCGTGCATGTTGGGACATGTAGTTTCCAAAGCATCTCTGCTACCCGTGGCAGTGACACCAGCTTGCACCAGGTTTACACAGTAGGTGTGTAGCGTTCTGGATCTGGGTACACTGCAGAGATAACCCTTAGATGAAGTTTGGGTGTCCCTGAGCTTAACCCCCCCACCCCCACCCCAAGAAGCGTTAAAAGCCGATATGAAAATGTGTACTAGAAGTGGTTATCTATGAATTACTGACAATAAACAGGTGTGAGACTTAATTGTATGTTGTCAATTCCTGTAGCATTGACAGTGGGTCCGTGCAGCCCTGCTGCTGTTATTTTTATCCTAGCAGCGTAGCAGCAGAATAAACACATTAAACACCGGCAAGGAGACTTTACAACATGACACAGGCTTCCCAAACCACTAACCACGGGGCTCTTAGCAGGGCATAGGCAAAGGGCTGTTTCCTCTTTTATTTTATGTTGGTTTCTGCTCGAATGTACCTGGTTTATGTCCACAAAGCTACATTAGCTAATTGTCAACCTGTTTCATTTGTACTTGGGTAAACATTTGCTTTGTACTGTGTATAAATGGTTCCGAGGTGTGCTCCTCAGCTGTCTCGACGCGGACATTAATTTCACGTTGTAATGCCATCGTACCAAATACATTAAGCTGTTTTTTGACAAACGAAAGCTACCTGGTCAAGTAGTTTATACAGCATGCATGCTACCTTCTAATCCCTGGTTCATCCACAGTCTAACGAGGCAGCTGCTGTCTGTACTGTGTATAAATGGTTCCGAGGTGTGCTCCTCAGCTGTCTCGACGCGGACATTAATTTCACGTTGTAATGCCATCGTACCAAATACATTAAGCTGTTTTTTGACAAACGAAAGCTACCTGGTCAAGTAGTTTATACAGCATGCATGCTCCCTTCTAATCCCGGGTTCATCCACAGTCTAACGAGGCAGCTGCTGTCGGGAGACGACGTATCGTGTCACGACAGCGACGAGCGATTCGCACGGCAGCTCGTGTCGCTGCGGCGCCGGGGAGTTGAGGCTCTAAGAAAATGGTGGATGTGAAGAACAGATGCTCCTGTTACACCGAGTTAGTTTCGATGCAGCTGATGCGCTTAGCCTAGTTCATTTCATGGAAACTTTTAAGCTGGATCTAGTCCAACATCCAGGGAAGCCTACTGCTGCCGTTGATTTGAGTGGGGTTTAGATGCAGCCCGCTCAGGTCTCCGATTGCGAGGAGCTCTATAAGGGGTTTATTTTTTTTCTCCTTAAGTTTCCATAAGCATCCGGCATTAGGCTTAGCACCGACTGGAAGTTTTAAAGTTGCGTTTTGCCTTGGAAGGATTGGTGCAGTGGAAAGTCAGAGCAGATCAGTGGCACGAGAGCTCGTCCCGCGGGCAAAGGGAGCCACCGGTGCCTGCCTCAGTGCTGGACTGGCACCGTGGGCAAGAGGCGCAGGGCAGTAAGTATGAGAGCACAGCCACCCGTGCTGCGGGAGCTGCCCCAAAGGTGTGCCTTGGGCAGGGTGTTGTCTTGATTGGGAACACCCCACCACTTCCAGAGGGGGCCTGGGGGGAGGAGAAATGTGGGATTCAACCTTTTGTGTCTTACCATTGGGGAGTTACCCCGAGTATTGCAAAGAGGGAAGATTTCTGTCAAGATCACGGCTAAGACAGACGTGTTCTTCTCAGTGTGTGAGTTAAATTCTATTTGCCATTGTCCACAAATAAAAGATTTTCTCCCCCC